CCATTTGCCTGCCCAGTATATCTAATGGTAGCAGATGCAAGAGAATCGCAAGAGCCTGTGTAGGGTTGGAGCGCAGAGCTCCACCAACACACACTATTGCCATCCTTTGAACCCTGCTGATTAACCTCAGGTTTAAGGAAGTACGGAGCGCCGGCAACCACACCAGAACTCCGTACATCAGTACCACCGCGGTATACAGCAAATAAACCATGTTTGGTTTCAGGCCCTACCCCTTCCCGATGGTCCTTTTGCACGAGTAAAGCACAATAGTTGCTTTCTTTACTCTCTCCATAATGTTAAGTCTCCAGTTCAGCTTTGAATCTTGAACAAGCCCCAGGAATCTAGCCTTACTGCTGAAGGATAGGCCGATTCCATCAAGTTTCGGAGGAGTCACGCCCGGAATCTTATATCTCCTACTGAAAATGACGAGCTCCGTCTTTTGAGGGTTAACAGATAGCCCACAGTTGGTCGCCCAGTTCGAAACTAGGCCAAGAGCCCTCTGTATCAGCCCATTTAGTGCGTGGAGGTGTTTCCCAGACACGGCCACTGTCACGTCATCTGCGTAGGTGACCACCTTATAGCCCTCCCGCTCCAGCAGTACTAGTAACCGATTGATTATCAGGTTCCAGAGAAGAGCCTACCCTTCCGATACGCATGTTGTGCCGGAGACACCAACCTCGGGTTAAGGTTGCTCCTTATGTATGCGTCTATCAATTTTTCTAATATTTTTAGTAGAAACGATGTTAGACTAATTGGTCTAAAATCCTTTGGGCAGCTGTGAGAGCTCCTTCCAGTTTTAGGGAATGAAGACGACCCTGGCAACATTCCACGATTTTGGAATGTGAGCTAGGTCTATAAAGCATTCGTAGATAATTTTCAGCCAGGGCAGGATGATCTACGCCGCATTTTGTAATTCCGCAGGCACTATATCGTCTGGGCCCGCCGACTTGGAAGGCTGAAAGCTGCGGATAGCCCAAAGGATTCCTCCCTGGGTGACCACTTCCGAGGAACAAGTTTCGCTTTCGTAGACATTCAAAGCAGACTCCCCCAAGGATTCCGGAAAGTGCGCATCCAGAAGCAGCTCCACGGACTCCGAAGCGGAGCTGGTCCAGGAGCCGTCAGCTGCCAGCAGATAACTCGGCACGACTGGGTCACCTGGCAGGACCCCCCCTTAATCTAGATGCCTCCGCAACCCCGCCAATCCTTCCGCAAAACTCCCTCCAGGAGAATCGCTGCGCCCTACTCAACTGGCGCTTGTGTTTTCTGAGGTCATCCTTATATGCGTTCCAATCAGATGATGCCCTGCTGAACTTTGCTCTGTTGAATTGAGTTCTGCATTTTTTCCGAAGAGCATTCAACTTCTCGGACCACCATTGCGGCTTTCTTTTGCCTCTTAACCGAGTTAGTGGACACGCCACCCTATTTCGGAGAGACTGAGCCTTCTCCATCATGTCCTTCAAATTCTCGGGCGGTAGCTCCCCCTGGAAATCGAAGGGCAGGTATACTGATGCCCACCAAGAGATACTGCCACCAGCTTCCAGACTGACTACAGTCAAGTCTTCATTACTGTAAAGAGGTTAAAGCATTTGAGTTACTTTTAGTAAGTATGTATGACATACTTGAAAAGACTGAAAAATATCTTGTATCCTAGCGTCCTCAGTCCGCAGATCTTTCTCCCTGCTATCCAGGGCTCCTGGACCAGGACTATATCTTCTCCACCCCTTTGTAAGCGGTGAAGAAGCGCAGCTGTGTCTGTTCGTGTCTGTTTTATACCCTTTAAGGGTTATGGAGGAGAACCCACAGTTAAGGACAAATCTCTGACTCTCCAGAGGTGCCAAAGATTCCCTATTTATTATTATGAGGGCCTGCCGATAGTCGCCCTTTCTCTCTTTCAACTTTTCCACCCCACAGTTGGCTGTCGGTAAGTTCGCAACGACCGCAAGCCTAGCCCCGGGCCAAACTTCCCCTACTCCTGCTATCGCCTTTTTATACAGGTCGAGACCCCTGCCGTTAGCACAAGCCACAAGTTTGACAAATCCCTGGTGCCAACTTTGGTCTCTACACGAGGGATATGGGCCTGGATTATCCTTCATGATTTGAGGAAAGCCCCCCATTAGTCGGCTTTCAACTTTCCTCCAATTCTTAGCAGAGATCTTGCTATCTTCTTGCGCCTGGTCAACCATAGCGACAACAAGATGGTCCTTCAGGATATCACTAAAAGGCCGCGTAATGGATGCGCTCAAGGGTCTGTTCGGTGGCCTTGGCTTCTTAGCTTCCCGAGGTGGTTCCTCTGTGGAGCGCTGTCGTTTTGTTGCCACAACCCTCTCGCTTAATCGCTTGTCCACAATACTCTTGGCCCAGTTGTATGTGGACCGATCCACATACCGACCGATCCTTTCCAGCTTCCTAAATGCAGAACGCCGTTCCCTATAGGCCCTTTTCGAGGGCCTCATTTTCTCTTTCCAGTTTGTGCTACTGTAGCCATCGAGCTACTACCGACACTAGACCTGACTGAGTCATAGCTTTGTGTGCGGTAGCTCGGTCCCGGTTGGGACTCCCTATGCAGTTTAGGTTGTGCACCAGTGCTTTTAGCATTCTTGGTGCTCGCCGGCGGTTTTTGTACTGAACTTGCCCTCAGCGATGTTTCAGCACGGTTCGCAGAAACTGACTTGGCCAAATTTCCTTCCGGCTTTTAATGAGTGCCGAACTCATCCACGTTTTTTTGATTTGCGCTCTCCATTCTGATCCCACGAGTTACGGAGGAAGGATGTCGACCTAGGCAGAGATCCGCCGTACCTAGACAAGGCTAAATAATCCGGAGGGCGCCAGGTATCCGGACGCTCCGTTAGCCAAGCTGATTATCGGCACGGGTCGCGTAACACCTTAATCTGGCATAGGGGGAATCAGGAGCGATAGGATGCAGTAGAGGGATAGGTGCAGGGAAAGGGTTTGATTTTCTTTTGGTTTCATAATGGTAGTGCCGCTTCTAACATACGAGGCGGTGGCATGGGGAAAAATGACCACGCTCGATAGTACAAAGAGGAACATGATGAAAATGCAAAGCATGGCATGCGTGTGCATTACGGGTGCTATGACAAGCTGCCCAACAGAAGCAATGGAGGTCATTCTTGACATGTCGCCGCTACATTTGGTCGTCGAGAGTGCGGCAAGAGGAACCAACCTACGGTTAGGTGGAAGATCTGGAGACAAGGAAGCTGTTATTGGGCCAAAAGATCGAGATACCCTCTCCACGGAGTTTCCAAAGTATTTTTCAAGCAGAAATACACACTACAGAAAAACACACTACGCATATACATAAGAAGAAGAAACTTGTTATTTTTTAGTATTTGCCAAATTTGAAATTGTTCATTTGCGGTTTTGACACAATTAGTCAAAATAAAATTTGAACTAAATAATATTTTTAAATATTTAAGAGATATATCTTTAAAGGAGTGGGGAGAAAGGAATTGACGGGTTCCATAAAAACGTTTAAAGTTAATTATCCACTTTGGAAAAAACGCTAACCCATTTCTAAGTACAAGAGATACACATAGAATTTAGATTTGATACACATAGAATTTTACTAATACATACGAGTACAATATTTTTTTAACAATAGTAATTAAAATATTAATGTAATGTGACCTAACGTACATATATAAATCCATTACATTTTTGTTAGATATAACATACATACTAGACTTACACAATAAATATTTGATGAAATATTAAAAATATCAAATTGTTAAAGCATATCTTAATCATAAATAATAAATTTATAAATAAAATTTGAAATATGCACTGGAAAACAACGCTTATAATAAAACGTGATTAAAATAATTTAATTTATAAAATAAAATTTTGTAATCTCAATAAATTTACAAAATTGTAACTTTAAAATTTTAGTTTCATTGTAACTTTTTGCACATTATTATGCATTCTCCATACATACACACGTATTCTGTATTTATTTTAATTGTTGTAATAATGATTTTTCTCTTTAATCGCGATTCAATCAAAAAATATCGGCGACCCCTTACTTCCAATACAGCTGTACAATACATGAACGTTTGCTAATTAAGTTTCAATAGTACAGATAAAATATTTGACCTCAGGGAGACCAGGATATATTAATACATTACTATTCATATATAAATATATATTTTGAAATGATTGGTACATTTAAACTCTTAATTATAAAATATTATACCTGAATATTGATTGAAAAATTAAAAAAATAAAAATTAACTTTTTAAATATTCTTTAATATTAAAATTTTATGCAATAGATTTGATTAATGTAAATTTACTTAAATTGTATGCATGTATGTATGTATATATGCAGATTATATAGAGCATAGAAAGAAAACCTGTTATTATGCCACAATTTCTTTACCTAAACAATATTTACAATATTTATGGGTTTGCATTATTCATTACAAAAATATAATTGTTAGGTAAATTGTTTTCGTTGAGCTTTAAAAGCCAGTTCGATATTAAGTTGTTAATGTTAAAGAGAGATGAAAATATAGGGTGTAAGATAAAGAAATTATAAAAATTAATAACAGCTAGTTCATGACTATGTCTATGGAGGCATTCTTAAACTGTTTTTAATATGCTAATTAATTAAAATGCTGATATGGTGATGGCGCGTCGTCTAGTATGTTCTATAATAATTATGATTCCATACTAGAATAGTAATAACTCATTCTAGATTAATTATTTTTTGTTATATAATATGTATGTTAAATACTTTCTGTATATTTGCGAAAATAATTGTATAACATTGTACATTTAATTTTTTTTTCTTAATCAATTGTTAACTTTAACATTTTTTTAATCTCTAATTAATTAAAAAATATTCAAGATTGATTTTCATCATTATTAAAAACGCCTGCGTAATAATTATTATATTATTTTAAAAGATAAAGATAGAAGAAATATGCTGTTTGAGATTTCGAGTTGATTTTTCAGTCAAGTATAAAAAGTCCAGGAATCATTGAAAATTAGAACAGAAATAAATTGATCTTGAAACTAGTTACTGTGCTACTCATTTTGACTTTTTTTGCTTTTGTTTTTTTTTAATAAGAAAATAAACTTAAATTTCCTTTACAAATAAATTGTCTAGTTAAAATATACACATATATATAATAACAACAATAAATAGTCAATTATGAAGGTAAAACAATTTGTGTTCAGTGTCAATTAAAATTATAATAATAATTACTATAAAATTTATTAAATTTTTAATTATCTTCTAATATTTCTTATTCAATTATTGTGTTCAATAGGTCATTCTACTACATTTAATTGTATCACTGCTGAGCTGTGTGCAAAGTTCTGTTATACCAATTAGCACAAATCCAGCTGGTATAACAATTATAAATGCACCACCTCCAGGTCAATCAATTGCAATTCAAGCACCAGTTGTACCAAATTCAATTGCGTTAGCTCCAGCTCATACAGTTGCCCATACAGCTGTAGTAGCAACAGCAGAAATTCCACCATCCAAAATACCGGCTGCAGTTGCCGTTGTTGAAAGTCCAGCAACAATTCCAAAATCTGATACTCACGTTGTTGTTAATGTTGAAGGATTAACATCATCTTCTAATATACCAGCAGCAGTTGCAATTGCTGAAATTCCACCATCAAAACCAAATACATCAGTTATTGTATCAGATATAGTATCAGTAACAGAAGATCCTGAAACGGAAGCCGAAACACCAGATCCATATGATAATGGTGAAGATCATAATGATGATCATACTGATGGTCATGATGGCAATGATGATGATTCAACATCAACACATGCAATTTCATTGAGTGGCTCACCAGCTGTGGTAACTGCACCTGTTTCAACTATTGTTTCTGCTCCCGCAGCATCGACACTTGTTTCAACTCCAACGGTTATTGCAGGACCACCAACTATAGCAGGTGCTGCGGTTCATACAACAAGTTCTATTGTAACTGCATCAGGATCAGTTGTAACTAGCCCAGTGGTAGCCGGAGCAGTAGTTACAAGTCCAGTAGTAAGCAGTGGGGCAGTTTTAGCGGCAGCACCATCACCAGCTATTATCGCTGAACCTGCAACAGTTTTAGTACCTGCTGAAGGTACGTACTTAGCTAAAACAAGAGGTTCTGAACATCTTGCTCCTCTACCAGGCCATATTAATTCAGCATCTTCAATTAATTTAGAGCCGGCACCAGGAACTATTTAAAAACGATTATGTGTTCAACAAAAAACAAAAAAATTAAATTAAATATGTAAAAACGAAAACCAAATATTTTTGATCGACGATTCTTAGATACTCAGAAATATTTTTTATATTTTCTAAACTGTCTGTGAGCCTTTACTTCCTAAACGTATACATTTTAAGATGAAAAACAACAATTTTCTTTCTACAAAATTTTCAGTTTTATTTAATTTTTTATTATCATTTTGTTATCTAATTTTATTATAAACAAATAAACTTTATTATTAATTATTGAAATAAATTTCGTTTTTGTAATTAAAAAAAATTCACAAAAATTTACCGAATTACAAAACGAATCGAAAAACGGAAACTTACTTATACTCTCCTCTGACTAGACTTACCGTCTTTAAAAAATTTGCAATATTTTTGAAATATTTTGAGTCAAAACCATAAAGCATTAAGTAAACCAATTGAATTCAAGATTTCAAGAGCAGAAAACATTGACCGAGTCAATATTGTTTTTAAAGTTGAAAAATCTGGTCATAACTATAAAATTTCTCACTATTTCATTAAATTAATTATTATGTATGTAATCAACATTTAATTCAATATTAAAACATACAAAATGTTCGCAAAAGTTATAAAATCAATATTAATTTATGCGTTAATTTTTTTAATTACTATGACTAATATACTCGTCCAAAAGACTTTGTAAAATTAAAAATGCATTAAAAGTAATTTGTGATTTTAAAATTATTTAATTGAACAATTCGTGAATTTCAATCTAGTTTTTCCAGGTTTTTTTCTGAGATAATGTAGTTATTTTTTAAGGAAATTTTTTAAATATTCCTGCTTGATTTATGTGACAATTAGTAATTAGTTTATATCGAACTCACGAATTCCAACATAATTCTAACTCACCTACAAAATTAAAAAATTCTGAAGTATGCATAAAATGTTCTTAATACTAGCATGCTTGGTAAATAAAAATAGTGAAGTCCAAATAATTTAACTTGTTCATATTATATTAAAACAAGCATTATTTTTACCAAACGGAACGTATTGCACATACATACTTTTCCTAATAGGTTTGTGGAAAAGCAAATTTGTTAACAATCAAAGCTTTCATGAAATATCGAATAAATCGATAAAACGAAAAGTGATGCAACATGTTCGACGGAGATTCAAAATGTTTGATAGCATAATAACATTTTTCTTAATAACTGGTATTTTTGAGTACATCGAGCACACTAAAGAGTAATTTGTAACGCTTATTAATAATAATACAAACTGAGTTTCGACCGATAAGCATTTAATTTTCAAATGTTGAGCATGGCACATTACTTGCAGAGACAATTAGTTAGTGGCATGTTTACCCTAAACGGTCTTATGTACAAAAATATTTTGTTGTGTATCACAGAATTTGAGTTAAGCGTTTTAAACCTAAATTTTCTAGAATATTCCTTATTATGCAAGATGTTAATTTTTATTGGTTTCTACTATTAAAATAATATTATAAGAAATTGAATATCTTATAACAATTCTAAAGTATTATAGAATTCAAGGTAATCTGCTTATATGTAAAAATTTATTCATATTTTTAAGGCGATTAACACTTTATAATTAAAAAATCGAGTATTATAGAACCGTCTATTCAAACATGATTACAACATTCCATACATAACACATAGAAAAAGCTTCAGAACTACACAATTTAATAATCCAGTTTGTTATGAAATGTAAAAAGTTGGAAATTCTAAATTCTTTTTGAAAATTTTTTTCATTTTCCATACGACTAAAATGTTTCTATGTACACATGTAATACTAGGATTACTCTATTTATAATTTTAAAGATTTTAATAATCAAAATTATTAAATTTCAATAAAAATTAAAAAAACTACAAGAAAATAAGTATAATATGCCATAATGAAAAATTCTCATAATAACTGTGTGCATTTTATAATTCACGTTCATAAATCAAGTCAAAAACAAAACATTATATAATTATAATAGGTAATAATCATAATAAATTAAGTTTAAATAATTATTTATAAATTCAAAATGAAAATTATAAAAGCCCCGAAAACCAAAAAAGTATTTTTCAAACTCACATTCACATTTACTTTAAAAAATATTAATAATTTACGTGTAACACATAAAATTCTCTTAATTATTTAAAGTATACAGTTACAATAATGTTATATAATTAATACTACTCAGATAATTTTTATGATGAAAATCGGTAGTTTGATACCAATAATTATTTAAATGTTTTTGACATGCTCCATAGTGTGTTGTTTGATTGTATTTGGTATTGAATAATTTATGTTGTTATTAAATAATTAATTTCGTTATTATTTTTATTTCATCAAATGAAAATAATAATAATTACAAAACGTAATTAACTCTGGACAGAACATTTTATATGTTAATTACTTGAAACAAAAAAAAATTACATGTGTTAATATTAAACAAAGGTACAAAGTAAGTTAGTGTTATAAATTAGATTTCTTGCATAATTCATATCGGAAACTTCCAAAATAAATTTTCTAACTTGTCAATACGGCAACCGCACCACAATCACTTTAAATGAAAAAAGATAGAATTCTGTAATATCTGTACGAAAGAATCAATGTAAAACTTGTCGATTTTCTTTACACCGTTCCACAATCTTTCGCTTGTTAAGAGCATCTTAGTAGTTAAGCCATAGTTTGGCCATATCTTAGGAAAAATTGAAATAACAGTACTGAAATTTCGCATAAATTAATATGGTAATACGGCATTTTAAAGTGGTTGTCTGTCCCATAGTCAGCTATGGCATATTTACTCGTACATAGGATAACAAATTCGTACGGGTATCACAGACTTAATACGGTCAACTCTATTTTTTCTCATTTGTTATTAATATAATTTGTGTCAAACACAAGCGCTGTAACTCAAGAATTTTTGACAAAGTATTAAAATAATTTTGAAATTGTGATAGCAGTTTCAGAAAAATTTTCAAAAAAAATTTTTGAAATTCTGAATCCAATATGTACTCGTATACGTATAGAACTTCATACATCTTCTATAGTTTTCCACAAGTTCACTAACACATGCGCATCAAGTATGAGATTGAAATTTTAGAATATCAGTGTTAGAATATTAGCATTTCAATTGCCAAATTTGGCATATTGAATATTTTAAAGATTATATGCCTAGCGCATTTTTGGCAAATACGTTACAGTTTTAAAAAAGAATTAAAAAGTTTTTGAAAAAAAAAAACGTTCGAAATATTTAATTTTTATAGGCAGGGAAAAGTTTTACAGATAAAATGGTTAAAAAAGACGTAACCATCGAATGCCTTAATGATCACTTTCAAAATTGGGAAACAGAATAATTTTGTTAAGTTGCTTTGAAGTTGCTATTCGAGTTAGAAATTTTAACAGGTAATTTTTATTTTTTTACTAAAAATTAATTCAAAAACCGTAAAAATTACCAAATATTCAATTTTATTTATCTATTTTCCGTTTTAAATTTACCCATTCATTACATGTTAAGAACTTTTAAATTTAAAATTTAATTGTGGGTAAAACTTAATGAATAAATTCCAAAATCATAAATTGAAGATTTTAATTTATGTGAATGGGTTAAATTCTTTCATATCATTTCCTTTATACAATTCTAATTAAATCATTCAGACCGTAAATTTACTTGGAATAATATTAATGGTTTGTTAATGAATTTGGTATTAATAAAATTGAGTATTATTTTTTTTAGTTTTGCAATTTTAATTGAAAAATTTGCATTACCACAATTTACAAGTGAATAACATAATTTAAAATTTGAACAATTTTGTAAGAAATATGCCTAGATTACACACATGAGTTAACAAAGTGTTTTAAAGTTTTTTTTTTACTTAAATTATTGCTACTTAAAATGTTATTGATAAGTGTAATTAATTAATTTTAACAATTGTTTTTTTTTCTTTTTAATGCAAAGAATAATTATTTTATTAATTAATTATTAGACGAATTGCTTATAATGCATTTGCCAAGCACCAATTATTATACAAACAAATATTGCACGAAAGAGCCAAATCCGGCTGCCAGATTGCCTAACAAAAGAAAGGGAAATGTTGTACAGTTAAAAAGAGTTTATTAGTATAGGAGATACAAAAACTTTTTGGTTTAAGGTTTACAAAATAGCAACAAAAAAAAAATAGCAAAATGGAAAAAAAAATAAAGAGTTAAACTACAATACTACTGTTATATAACCCATTTTGAAACATAATTTAAATTTCCAGATAGTACATAACTCTTATAAATACGACGATTAAACAACTTTGTTCTTTGTTTCAACCAGAAAATATAAATAAATTTATGTATAATTAATGGAATTAAATTGAATTAAAATAGGTACCATTTTATATAAATAACATTGCTATTAAAGTTAAACTCTTAAAAGAAAAAACTCTTACAATATGCAATGTTGTACGTTAATGGAATGTTACGGTAGGATATATAAAATCTCTTTCTAGCAAAGTTTTGAAAATTAAATTAATAATAATGTTAGCTACACCACATTGCATTCGAATAATGTTATTGTTTGGTCAAAAATAGGATTAGAATAAGTGTCATATGCAAAAAAAAGCACTACATACAATTATTTTTCAATAAAATTTAATATGCTTAACAAGCTTATTTAAATTAGCTCTAGTTACATCAGACCCGGTTCTGACTTGTTCGGCGTCAAAAAGTGCACCCCACCTTCTTTCAAAGCAATGAAAAATGTGCAGTGCCCCGTGAAGAAATTCGCAATAGTGCGAACCCGGCTCCTGCTCATCCCCAGCAACTCTGCGGTGAATCCGCTGGAGCACGCCGAAAGAAACACTCTCGCATGAGGGCACCCTTTCGTGTCCCGCCAGTGACGGCCGCATTCCGCCGCGAGCAAGTAGGCAAGCCTGGCCTCCACGGCGGAAGAAGGCAGACCGCAGAAAGGCAGCGGCTGCACAAAGTCAGCCCCAGATCCCCTCCGCGCCAGCCCATCGGCAACATCGTTGCCCGCATGGCCACTATGGCCCGGCACCCAAATGAGCGTCACTCTGTTCTCTGATGCCAATTCCATAAGTGCAGCAAGGCAGCTCCAGACCAGCTTGGATGTAACCTGAGCTGAACGATGCGCCAGCAGTGCAGCCCTGCTGTCTGAGAACACATAGATGGTGCGGTTTCTATACCCCCTTTCCAAATTGATTCTCAGACAGATCTCTATTGCATGTATTTCGGCCTGGAACACTGTGCAATACGGGTCAAGGGTTGCAT